GCTGCTGCTGCTGCTGCTGCTGCTGCTCGCTGGGGCCCCGCCTGCGGCTGCCGGCGACGCCAAGAAGAGCGGTGAGCCCGCGCGGTCCTGAGGGCGCCGTGGGGCGGGGGGAGGTGGGGGGCGGCCGGCGGCAGCCGGGAAGGGGGCGGGGTCGGGATTGTGACTCACCTGGGGTCGCCTGTGCGCTCACCTGGCGCGGGCCCGGGGCCCAGGTCCCCACGCCGGGCTGGGACCTAAGGACAAGCCCTTGTGAGCATCCCCTGGTGGGCAGTCGGGGTGGCAAGGACGCCAGCGCCCCCTGCACTGTCCCCAGGGCCGGGTTCGGCCAGACGGCCCCTCGTAGTGCGCTCTCCCTTTCTGCTTCCTCCCAACGCCTTTCGGTAGGGCACGACTGCCGCGCGGAGGGACGCGGAGGTGGAGGGGTGCAGGGGGACTCAACCCAGGGTCTAGCCGCAAGGCCCGCTGGGAAGAAGGGCTGTGTGGTGGGATCCAGGGCCCTCATGTGGCCTCTGAGAAGGGCGGAGTTGGGAGAAAGTTGCTTAGATCCTGGAGTGGGGCCGCGTCTTCACCCCTCCCACGGCGACAAGTGCAGTGACTTTGAACACCTGGCACTGCTTCTTGGAGGCTGGCTCCCCCGTGAACCTGAGGGGCCTGGTGGGCCAGGTGGTTCTGCCCCTTGAGAGTCCGCACCCTGGGCTGAGCCCCCCATAGACCTGGAGACGCTGCCTCTGTGACCTGCCTGAGATAAGACCCTGGGAGTGCCGAGTGGTCTCCCCTGACTGTGGCCTGGGTCTTTCTGAGGGCCGCTGGCTGGGCTGGCTGGGTTAGGGGGGCCCAGATGCCCCTCTGGGCAGCAGGTGGCTTATCCAGCACAGCCTGGAGCTCTCTCCCTCCACTCCCTGGCTCCCTGCCTCTCCCCCCCTTCTCTGAAACCCTCCAAGCTCCTGTTTCCTTGAGGGCTGTGCCTCCGGTTTCTGAGCTTGGCACAGCTTGAAATGAAAGGTGTTTTCCCCTGAGACTGGCCCCCGATTCAACTGCTCCATTGGATTGCATATCGTCACCCTCACATGCACCTTTTTCTCCATCCTGGGTTCAGGGCTGGATGAGGGCTCACTGGTGAGGGGCTTAGGGAGATGGAAAACTTGGAGCAGCCCCTCACCTCCCAGGCCTGCTGAGGGGGCAGGCAACTGTGTGGCCCTGGCTTCTAGGGTCTGTGCACTGGGTCCCTGTCCTGCTTCAGAGTGTGTGGGGTAGTGTGCCCTCACTTGGGTTCCCAGGACAGGCTCAGGGACTTTCTTTCCTTTCCCTGTAACCCTGTGTCCTCGGAGGGGACTGTGGGGCAGGGCTGGTGTGCATGAAGCCTGTGCTCCCTGATATCAGAGGTAATGTGCTAATCGCCTGGTGTTCAGCAAGATGAGTGCCTGGGTATCTTGGGAAGGGAGGTCGGGCTGTAGAGCTGGGGTGCTGAGGGGCCGGAAGGGTTCTGCTTCTTAGGGTGACCTTGAGCAGGTCTCATCTCTCATGCACCTGCTGAAACTTCAGAGCTACCAACTGCATTCCAGGTGTGCTCAGGCTGGCACCCCAGGGCTGGTGGGGGCCAGAAGGCCTTGCACTTTTAGGTCAAGGTACTGGGGGCCCAGCTGGCTGCCTGTTTCTCTTAGGCCCCCTGGTCCTGAGGTGGGGGTGGGGGTGTCCTGCCTCAGCTCCCTAGCACTTTTCTCGGCCCCTCTCATCATGTCATCCTAAGGGCCACAGCCGCCTCAGGGGGAAGTTTGTGTTAGTTCAGTAGCTCCTGGCCTCCTAGTATTCAGGCCACAGACCGCTGGATGGGACCATGTGGCCAGCAGCCACATGGAAAGTCTGGAGCTCGTCCTGCATGGAGCCCACCTCTTCACACCCCACTGTGTGGAGCTCCTCTGGAACTCAGACTGACTTCATAAGTGGGTTACTGTCTTTTCTTGAGGTGACTCCATGGGAAGGTCAGCAGGCTGGCAGAAGGGTTGGTCACCTGGCCCCCTGACCTGCTCCTCCAGCTTACCTTGAGGGGCCCGGCCTGCTCTGCTGGGGTGATGTCAGCCAGCCACTCTCCCGGTGGGGCAGAGAGAGGTCAGCTTGGAGGAGAGGAAGCCACACCCTACTGTGTCCACAGTGCATTTCTTCCAGAAGCACTTTAATATCCATTAACTTTGGAGGGCAGGGCACCTGAGAGGGGGTGGTGCCATCCACCTCAGCCAACTCACGAGGAAGCTGGAACCCAGAGAAAGGAAGGGACACTCAAGGTCACAGGAGGCATGAGGTCTGAGCTGCTGCTGGGCCTGGACTCCCCGGCACACAACCCGGGCGCCTCATGGCTGGACCCCACATCTGCTTGGCTGCCCCCAAGAGCACAGAGAACACCCAGGGTGGGAACCCCAAGAGGGAGGGTTTGGGGGCACATTCATGGTGTCGGGCACCGGTCCTGGTGCAGGTTGTACTCAGTGAGTGGACACTCCCAGGAGGGGCCTAGTCTAGGCTGGGGCCTCGGGCCTCTGTGCCGAGCCCCCGGACACTGAGCCAGTCCTCGAAAGGTTGGTGTGACAACAACTGAGGGTCAGTGCACATGTGTAGGGGGGGAGGGGAGGGGAGCCAGGGAGCCGCCGTGGTGGAGACCTGAGAGGTGTTCCGAGGGTGGGCACAGGGGTGCCCCAGGCTGGGGCCGCAGGCAGTCTGCTGCCAGGGGCGCCTGCCTTGTCCGTGCCACTCTGCATGGACACATGCCCACTAAGGCATGGGAACCAGCTGCCCCCCCTCTGTCTTCACGGCTGGCCAGGCTTCCGGTCCAGGGTTCCCCTCCCCCCAGGGTCTCCGCTTGCCACCTCTCTGGGTTGGTGGGGATTCAGGCTCAAGTCATCGTGGGCCTGAACAGGTGGCCAGCCTCCAGACTTGAATCCCCTCACCTGTCAGGTGCAACCACGGCAGGCCCCACAGGCTCCACAGAACGGGGCAGGGAGGATCCGAGGAGGTGGGGAACCATCCCGGTATCCGGTGCCCAGGGCAGATGTGAGGCTGGGGCTGGGCTCCCACCCCGAACACTCCCTACGTCCCTCAGCCTCCACCTCTTGGCCCCAGACCTGCCAGGGCTGCACTGTGAGGGGGACTGAGTGAGGCCATGACAGCGTGCAGAAGGTGGGGGTCGGGGGACAGGCAGGATGAGGTCTGTCCTGCTTCTAAGGTCTTGAGGCATTTGGGGTGACATGCTGGGGGACTCGTTCTGGAAGCTGCTACAGTGATAAGGGGTGCCCGGTGGGCAGAGGTGGCAGAGAAATGGCTTCAGGGTCAGAGCCCGAGCCGCGGAGAGATGGATGGCGGGGGTGGAGACGTTGGATGCGTGGAAGCCGAGTGGGAGTGTGATGGCAGAGGGACACCTCGTGAGTCCCGGGCCCCTGCCGAGCGAGGGCCAGCCGCCGGGGCTGCCGGGGACAGCGAGAGGTCAGAGTCGGCGCGCCGGGCGCCTGTCGCGGCCTCCGTGAGGACGTGGGGGCCTGGCCTGGCTGACGGTGCCGTGTCCCCGCAGACGTCAGGCTGGTGTCGGAGCAGTTCTCGCAGTCCCCACAGAAGCTGTCTTTCTACAGCTGGTACGGAAGCGCCAGGCTCTTCCACTTCCGCGTGCCCCCGGACACCGTGCTGCTGCGCTGGCTGCTGCAAGTGTCCCGGGGCGGCGGCCCTGCGTGCACCGACGTGGAGATCACTGTGTAGGTGCCCGCCCGCCCGCCCGCCTGCCCGCCCAGGCTCTCCCGGGCTCCACGCCCGACGCCTGTCCTGCTCTCCCTGCCTCCAGGTACTTCCGTTATGGCGCCCCTCCTGTCATCAACCCTCTGGACACCAGCTTCCCCGCCAACACCTCCGTGCAGCCCTCCTTCCTCATCAAGATGCTGCAGAGCAACGCATCCGTCAACATCTCCCACCCAGCACCCGGGGACTGGTTTGTGGCCGCCCACCTGCCGCCCTCATCCCAGAAGATTGAGGTGAAGGTAAGGGGGCTGCCTTCCGGCGGTGGGGGGACAGGGCCCTCAGTGCAGGAGTGCCCAGTGGCCGTCATTGCCCTCCTCAGGGCAGACTTCTCTCTGGGTTCTGCTGCCCTGCTCTGGTCCAGTCCTGCCTGCCCCCTGTTCCACACCTGGGCCCTCTGGTCTGGCCCTGACCGCCCCATGTCTGCCTTTTCTTCTCCCCCGAACTTCACTCTCTCCCTAGGGTTTTGTGCCCACCTGTGCCTACATCTTCCAGCCGGACATGCTTGTCCTGCGGGCAGTCGAGGTGTTCATCCTGGAGCCTGATGTCCCCCTTCCACAGACTCTCCTGTCCCACCCCAGCTACCTCAAGTGAGTGGGGCCCTTGGGGAGGCCGAGCCTCCAGGTTGGGTAGAGTGGGCGCTCCCACCATCCTCAGTGTGTGGGCCTGGGTCTCGGGGCCGGATGCCCAGCCCCCTTTGGGTGACATCCCGAGTGAGAGTGACACAGGAGGGCGCTGGGGGCCACAGGGCCTGAGCGAGACCGCATCCCCTTGGCCGCAGAATCTTCATCCCTGAGAATACCCGGGAGCTGCGGCTGGAGCTGCAGGGCTGTGCGACCAACGGGAGTCTGGGCTGCCCTGTTCGCCTTACTGTGGGCTCGGCCACCCTGCCCAGGAACTTCCAGAAGGTGCTCACGTGCGTTAGCCCCAGTTGGGCCTGCCACCTGCTGTTGCCTTCGCCGCCCTGGGACCGGTGGCTGCAAGTGACAGCCAGGAGCCTGGCCGGGCCTCATGTGTCGGTGGCCTTCAGGGCTGTAGCTGCGCTCACAGGTGGGCCGCGTGGAGAGGGCAGGGTGCGGGTGACTCTGCCCCCTGCCACCAACCCCCGGGCCTTCCTGCGCCTGAGCCCCTTGTCCTCCTGACAGCCTGCAGGCCGTGGACCCCGAACTCCCAGCACCTCTTGCCGAGCGGCACAAACCAGAGCTGTAACGCCTCCGCTGGCCTGCTGCCCCCAAGCCCCGGCTCCCGTGGCCCGGGCAGGAGCAGCAGGCTGGGCAGCGGGCCCTTCTGCCTCATGAGCTACCCGGTCCTTCGAGAAGACATGGACGTGGTATCTGTACGCTTCCGGCCCGTGGACAGGGTCTCCATGCTGGTGCAGTCAGCCGTGCCCTCGGTGCTGCGGCTGCACCTCAACACTGGCATGGACAGCGGGGGCTCCCTCACCGTCTCCCTGCAGGCCAACCAGGTACCTTTGTCTGGGAGCACCCCGTGGCCTGGCTCGGCTCCGGGCTCACACCTGGCCGGGCTGAGGGATGCGGCTCAGGTCTTCCTGCGCTGACTTTGGCGCGGGGACGAGGTCAGCCTTTCAGGCAACGAGATGACCCCAACGGGTGTTGGGGCAGAATAGGGGTTCTTTTTCAGGAAAGGAAGGCCTGTTCTATAGGCTGTATCTAAGGGAATGGGGCTGTGTGTGGGATCAGCCTGGGTGTCCGCAGGCCTGTAAGGAAGGGTCCCGGCGGGGCCCTGGGCCAGCCGGAGCCACAGACAATGGTGCCCAGCACCAGACAGAGCGGGAACTTTGGGCAGCTGCCCCGGGGCTGGGGCTGACTGTGCACGGCCTCTCCTTCCAGACCGCGGTCACCAACAACACCTTGGTCGTGGTCTGCGTGAATGCAGCCTCGCCCTTCCTCAGCTTCAACACGTCGCTCAACTGCACTACAGGTACGGGCAGGCAGCATCTGGCCAAGCAACCGGGCCAGCCCCTCTGGCCACCTCTGATCATGCCTTCCCGCTTCCCTACAGCCTTCTTCCAGGGCTACCCCCTGTCTCTGAGCGCCTCATCACGCCAGGCCGACCTCGTCATCCCCTATCCAGAGACAGACAACTGGTACCTCTCCCTGCAGCTCGTATGCCCCGAGAGTCCTGAGTAAGTACACGCGGGGGCTACCGCCTGGGGCAGGCAGCTGGATCATTGCATCAGGACCATGCCTGGGGCTGCCCAGGTCCAAGTCTGGGAGTGACCAAGCTTTCTACAAGCCCCACGGGGTCAGTTGCCCCCTGGGGGTTGTGAAGGGTCCCTCTCCTCCATCTGGTCACCCTCCTTGCTGCAGCCCTGGGCATCAGGACACAAGGAGGGGTACCAGTCCAGGCACAGCCCTGGGAGACTGGGACGCAGGGAATAGCAATGGGGACGGGGCATCTCGGCCTCAGCAGACCTCGCAGCTGCCGACCTCTGAGGCTTGGAGCCTGGGGGCCTCGAGTCTGGGGTCGTGCGTCCGAGAGCCCGCTGGGAGCAGTGACAGGGGACTGGCTACCAGCTGTCAGCAGCTAGCCCTCCTGTGGCTCCGTCCTCACAGGGAGTGTGAGCAGACCTCGGTCCTCGTGGAGACCGCCTTGTACTTGGTGCCTTGCCTGAATGACTGTGGACCCTACGGCCAGTGTCTTCTGCTGCGCAGACACAGCTACTTGTATGCAGGCTGCAGCTGCAAGGCAGGTGAGCGCCAGGCCTGGGTGCTTCCAGACACTTTCTTTGTCAAGTTTATTGATTTATTTTGGGGGAGAGAGAGAGAGAGAGAGAGCCTGAGTGGGGGAGGGAGAGACAGAGAGGGAGAGAGAGAAAATCCCAAGCAGGCTCTACACTGTCAGCACCCAGCCCGACGCGGGGCTTGAACTGACGAACTGTGAGATGGTGACTCTAGCCAACATCAGGAGTCGGTCACTTGACCCACTTAGCCGCCCGGGCGCCCCCACCTTTTTTTTTTTAAGTTTATTTATTTAAGTAATCTCTACACATGGGGCTCAAACTCATGACCTTGAGATCAAGAGTTGCATGTTCCTCTGGCTGAGCCAGCCAGGCGCCCTGCCTGCAGACGTTTTCCCCTTGGCTTCTGAGCCCGGCGCCGTCCTCTGGGAGCCCACGGCAGCCCTGCCGCGGCTGGAGAGTGACCCTGCAGGACAAGTGCAGACGCCCCCTCCCCATTCCTACCATGTCTCCTCAATCCCCCCACAGGCACAGAGTGGCACCCCCAGACATAGTGCTGCCTCCTGACCTTGGACTCCCCTGCCCACACCTGCCCCAGTCTGTCCCAGCCTGCTCCTGGGTGAGGAGGGGGCTTCTGTGCAGCGCTCTAGGTGAGGGGTTCGCCCCCTCTCCTGGCCTCAGCCCCCTTGGCGTCACATTGGCCCACAGGCTGGCGTGGGTGGAGCTGCACGGACAACAGCACAGCCCAGACGGTGGCCCAGCAGAGGGTGGCTGCCCTCCTTCTCACCCTCAGCAACCTCATGTTCCTGGCTCCCATTGCCATCTCCGTGCACCGCCTCCTCCTGGTGGAGGCCTCCGTCTATGCCTACACCATGTTCTTCTCCACGGTAGGCTGGCCTCACTCCCCTGGGGACATGGGCGGGGGCAGGGGAGGGGGGGGGATGGGCTGCCGCTCACCAGCCTGCTCCGCAGTTCTACCATGCCTGTGACCAGCCCGGGGAGGCGGTGCTGTGCATCCTCAGCTATGACACATTGCAGTACTGCGACTTTCTGGGCTCTGGGGTGTCCATCTGGGTCACCATCCTCTGCATGGCGCGGCTGAAGGCGGCCTTGAAACACGTGAGTGGCTCCTGACACCCGAGTCTGGGCTCTAGGGGAGCAGAGGCCCGGCATGCAGCACGTTGAAGAAGACCCCAGAAAGCAGGCTCAGCTCTTAGAAACTGCTCATCTCTTGTGATGACCAGTGGCCTGCTGGCAGAAGGTGCCGGTAGCGGTGAGGGGGCTGCTGCTTGGAGGCCGCCAGGAAAGAAAGGTGGTGGGCAGGGTGCAGTGAGGGCCCCAGCCGGTCTCTCCCAGAGCCCCATTCGGAGAGGAGGCCTAGAGCCCCACCCCTAGGCCACATCTCCCCAATAAGCCCCAGCTCTGCTCCTGCAGTCCCTGGTGCTCGGGACATTTTGGGGACTTTTCTGCATCAGCTGGCCCTGGCTGATAGAGACACGTGCCCCCGGTACCTTGCCTGGCCAAGTTTGTGCCTGAGAAATCCACCTGTGGACAGATCGGTGGGAGCGCGGGGTCCCGGCAATGCGCGAGCTGGACGAGAGGCCCCTCCCTCCCAGCCAGCAGAGCAGGACAGAGCGGGGCAGCAGCCTGGGCAGGGCGGGGGGCGGGGGGATGGCACACATGCCCGGTCCACCTGTCCTGCTAGACCATGTTCTGTCAGGAATGACTCTGGCTGAGGGTCCATGTGAGCCTGCGGTCATCCCTGTGTCTTGCCCAGGTCCTGTTTCTCCTGGGCACACTGGTCTTCGCCATGTCCTTGCAGCTGGACCGCAGGGGTGCCTGGAATATGATGGGGCCTTGTCTCTTTGCCTTTGTGGTTATGGTCACCATGTGGGTAAGGAGCTGGGGCAGGTCCTGCCCAGCCCCCTGGCCCCGGGGGGGGGGGGCGGGATTGGAGAGAATCGGGGCTCCCCACAGACTCTTTCCCCAGGGGAAGAGAGCCTGGCCCTTCGTTCTGGCCATGTCTCTGGGCCTGGGCCCGAGTCCTGGCCTTGAGTCCTCTCCAAGCAGCCACACACGGCCCCACTGCCCAGACCCGGTGGGCCCCTGGGAACTGTGTCCACAGCCTCCTGTGCCGTCGCTCACGGGCGGTTTCCTCCAGGTGTACCGCTGCGGGCACCGGCGCCAGTGCTACCCGACCTCCTGGCAGCGCTGGGGCTTTTTCCTCCTGCCCGGCATCTCCATGGCCGCTGTGGCTGTGGCCATCTACACCTCTATGATGACCAGTGACAACTATTACTACACCCACAGCATCTGGCACATGCTGCTGGCGGGAAGTGCGGCCTTCCTGCTGCCGCCGCGAGAGGAGCACACCGAGCCCTGGGCCTGCTCGCAGAAGCTCACGTGCCGCTATCAGATCTGTAAGAGCCACCGAGAGGAGCTGTACGCGGTGACGTGACATGGCCGGCTCGGGGACGCCTGCGGCTGTGATGATGAACCTCACTGGCCAGGGATATGACCGAAGAACGAGTCTGTCCAGACCGATTTCCAACTGAATAAAATTGCCCTGTGCACCCTTTTGCTTCCTCCTGGGGAGAGGACCACGCCTCCCACCTGCCTTGTGCCTGCCAGGTGCTGGCTCCCGTGGCCCCTCCACAGGTACCATACAGGGCGAGGTTCTGTGACATGTGGAGACAGACTCCCCCATTGCCCCATTCCCCTGTGAGGTTGTGATGTGACACCCAAGGGGACAAGGGACACCTGAGCTCACCTCCCACAGGCCCCGCCCCACTGGGCCTGGGAGCTGTGCCCTCCCTGCCTCCCTGATGCCAGCCTTCCTCAAGCATGGGGATGCTTCCCACCGATGCAGTAGTGTGGGGGGAGGTGTCTGTAGTCCCCAGGGAGCTGATGGGCACTGGGGCTGCCATGAGTGACATGGAGAGGCTGGCATTTGGCTGTCTGGCCCTGCCCTGCCCCTCCCTTTGGCTCTCAGCTTTGGAGCTGCAGGCCCTTGAGAAGGGCTTCTTTGGGAGGGGCTGCCGAGCTGCTCTAGGGCTGTGATACGACCTGGCGCACTTTGCCCCAGGTCCGTGCCTTCAGCCTTCCCTGGGGTTCCTGGGACCTTTGGAACTCAGAAGCATGAGTTGCTCCCCGGAGAGGAGGTGATGACTATAGCCCTGTACCGGGCTCAACTGTGTGTTTGGGGAGGGGCTTCCCAGAGATCTGGCTGGGCCTTTATGCCTCCTCTGTGGGAGAAGCAGGATAAGGGGGGCTGACTGCCCCAGGGTCAGTGCCCTGCCCCTCCCCTAAGACAAAACTGCAGTGGGCTGCTGCTATAGGACCAGGGGACGTGGCCACAGGAAGCGAGGCCGCTGAGGGTGGGGTGCAGGCATGCAGCCCAGCCCATCCTGCCTACTGGCTGCGGGGGGGGGGGGGGGGGGGGGGGCCCCCTTCTTGGTCCTGTCCAAGGTGTGGCCTCCCTGGAGGCCTCCCCCACCCCTTTCACCCTGCACTTGGCCACTAGGTCACTCAAGGCTTGTAAAGGGGAGACATTTATATATGGTGTTTTGGGGGGTAAAAAATTTTAAGACAAGAGGACATATTTTTATGTAGCCCTTCTTTCGCTGTGATTGATGAATTTAATATTCTACAGTGATATTTCAAGACACAAGCGTTTTTCATTGATTTCTGCTCTCCTTCGGGGAGGAGGGGGAGTGGGACCTGGGATGACAAGCTCCGCCCCGCCCTGCCCCCGGCTCCGTTCGAGGCAAAAGGGGCCTCATTTGCTGACGGTGCCTGGAGCCGCCGCCGTCACTGCAGGACGTTTTGCACGGTCCCTAAAGGCGGGAAAGGGGGCGGGACGAGGGTAGACGGACGGGCTTTTCAGCCAGTCAGCGGCGGATAGCGGGCCAAGCTCTGCGTCAGGACTTCTGGTTCCGGTGGGGCGCGGAACTTGGAGAGGTAGGCGGTGCAGGGGTCGGAGGGTCCGCGGTTCGGGTCACTGGGGCTGAGTAGGGGCCGCAGGTCGGGGCCAGGGTCTAGAGTCAGGGGGCGGGGGGCGAAGCCGCGCGGGTAGTCCGGGTCGGGGGTCAGAAGTCAAGAGGCCGGCGTCGAGGGTCAGGGCCACGCCGGTAGTCTGGGTCGGGGTCGGGGTCGGAGGTAGAGGCTGCGCGGGGGGCGGCGGGGGCGGGAGTCAGGGGTCTGGTGTCGGAGGTCTGGGTCGGGATCGGGAGTCTACCAGCTGGCGTCGGGGGTCAGGGCCGGAGTGCGGCCGGGCTGCGGAGTGACGGCGGGCCGCCCCCCCCCCCCTTGCCCCCCTGCCCCCTTCCAGGCTCGCCGCGATGCCCCTGCACAAGGTCCCGGTTGGCCTTTGGAAACAGCTCCGGCTGCGGGAGGGTATCTGCTCCCGCTTGCCCCGGCACTACCTGCGCTCGCAGGAGCCTGCGCGAACGCCCACTCCTGTGCACTACAGGCCGCACGGGGTTAAGTTCAAGATCAACCCCAAGAATGGGCAGCGGGAGCGTGTGGAGGATGTGCCCGTTCCCATTTACTACCCGCCAGAGTCCCAGCTGGGGCTCTGGGGTGGGGAGGGCTGGGTCCTGGGTCACAGATACACCAACAACGACAAGGTACGTGAGCAGGACAAGCTGGGGGTGGGGGCGGGGGGGCCGCTCCTCTGGGTTTTGCTGCTCCAGGCTCAGTGCTGTGCTCCAAAGGTGGGCGTGGAGGGCCGGGGGCGGGGTGGTGCGCTTACAGTCTGGTGCAGACGCCGCTCCGTTGAAGAGGCATGCTCATTTGTGAAGACGCGTTTCTGGCAAACGTTACTCTGGGAAGCCAGTTGGGTATCCTGAGACAGGGCGGTGGTCTGTACCAGAAACAGTAAGTGCAGAGACCCTGGGGTGGGTATGAGATCAAGTGTAGGGACGAGGAGTGAGGGGATCCCTGCGTGAGAGGAGGTAGGGGGAGGTCAGGTCTTCAGTCACCTGTTGGCTTGACATGCCACAGTGTGTCTGTGACACGTACAGGGCTGGCACTACCACCTTGTCATCGCAATTAGGACGTCAGCCCTGCGCACGGTGCAGTCTCCAGTGGGCAGTCTGGAGGGGCTGCTGAGCCCCCTGCCTGGTGGCTCTCAGGCTGACATCTCCCTTTGCCCTTGGTCCCTTGGTCCCTGGTTTGGAATGTGATGGCCTGTGGACCACAGAGTTATGGTCGTACATGTGGAACACGCACCAGCAGCCCAGGCAGGGTCAGGAGGTGCCAGACTGGCTGAGGAGAAGCTGATCTCTGGGTCTACAGGTAGGGGCTGGTCCTCTGGCTCCGTGTCCTGAGTCTCAGGTAGGTTCTCTGTTGTTCCTTTAGCTCTCCAAGAGGGTGAAGAAGGTGTGGAAACCACAGCTGTTTCAGCGCCAGCTCTATAGTGAGATACTGGACACGAAATTCACCATCACAGTGACCATGCGGACCCTGGACCTTATTGACGAGGCTTACGGGTTTGACTTCTACATCCTCAAGGCAAGCGGGGAGGCGGGTCAGGGCTCGTCGGGTCAGCACACAGTGGAGTCTCCTGGCTAGTGAGAGACTTGGTGGGGCACACCTGTGTCAGCTCACAGTCCTTTGTCCTGTGACGGCCTGGGGCCCTCCACCCGCCGGGGAGGCGCCTGGTGGGGTCAGCCCTCGGGTGGGCGGGGCATGGCCAGCCACACCTGGCCCCACGCGTAGCCTCCTACCAGACTCCGAAGGAGGACCTGTGTTCCAAGTTCGGGATGGACCTGAAGCGAGGGATGCTGCTGCGGCTGGCCCGACAGGACCCCCAGCTGCACCCAGACAACCCCAAGAAGCGGGCGGCCATCTATGAAAAGTACAAGGTAAGGGCTTTGGCTCCTACTTCCTGCTCCTTGAGGGCCCCGTTGGCTGGTGCCTCTGGCCTCATTGTGGGCCTGGTCCCTCCTGTGCAGGAGTTTGTCATCCCAGAGGCAGAGGCTGAGTGGGTCGGCCTGACGCTAGACGAGGCTTTGGAGAAGCAGAGGCTCCTGGAGGAGCAGGTGAGCATGTGTGAGCACCAACCGCTGAGCACTAGCAGGCAGATGGGGTCGGGGCAGGGCTGCCTTGGGGAACCTGGGCTGGTGGCCACTGCCCTGGGTGGGTCTGGGGAGGAGCCACCCCAATGGAGCCATGGTCTTGGGTTCCCTGTAGCACATGCCCTCCCCTCGAGGGTCTGATCCTCTCCTGTCTACCACCCCCACCCCGCACCCGGCTAGCTTCATAAGTTTATGGACAGAAAGACTCTTGGTGGCACCTTTGGTTTATTTGACTGCCTAACGCCTTCTTGCCCTGTGGTCTTCCTGTTAGCGAGTTGAGGTCTTTCTTTTTTTTTCTTTTTTTCTTTTTTAATGTTTATTTGAGAGAGAGAGAGGAAGAGTGTGAGCAGGGCAGGGGCAGAGAGAGAGGGAGACACAGACTCCAAAGCAGGCTCCAGGCTGTGAGATGTCAGCACAGAGCTTGACACGGGGCTCGAACTCGTGAGCCATGAGATCATGACCTGAGCGGAAGCCAGAAGCTTGACTGACTGAGCCCCTAGGCGCCCCTAGTTGAGGTCTTTTTGTGTGTGTACCCTAGAAGGGTCTGAGCTTGTGGTCGCTACTGGGAAAGGGAACCCACACGGCACAGCAGCCACTGCCCCTGTTCTCTGCCACCTTAACTGTAGCCACAGATGCCTGATCCCTTCGTCCCAAGGGAAGGTGGCCCCTGTCTCATGGACAGGGTCACTGTCCTCTGGACCGGTGGCTGTAGCCAAGCCTGAGGGGTCCAGTCTTCTTGTGCCAGATTCCTCTTGGTGTTTGGCCAACTGGATTCGGACCTTCCCCAGAGCAACTTATCCTGACCCTGTCTCACTCCCATAGGACCCGACTCCTCTGTTCAAGGTCTACGTGGAGAGGCTGATTGAGCGGCTTCAGCACCAGACACTGTCTGAGCCAGTGGTAGTGCAGAAGAGAGCCAACAAGAACTGACCGCACAGTGACCCACGCCAGACAGCCACGCGCAGCCACCCCGCCCTGCGGCACCGTGGACACTGAGCCTGGGGTGGTGGCGAGGGCCGTATTTGGGTAGTGGATGAACTCGTTCTTGTGTGCTGACTCAGTAGCTCCCAGGGTTGGGTGAGCTTTGTGGAGGCCCCAAGGGGTCTTTTGCCCCAGGATCCTAAGAGGTCTGGGGCCGTCTTGCTGCCTCTGTGGCACCCCCTCCCCCCTGAAGTGGGGGCAGCACAAGTAAAGTCTGAGCCGGGCCATGTGTGGGCTGCTTTGCTGGGAGGAACGGAGCTCTCCTGAGTAGTCCTCGACCTCGTCACGCCCTGCCCCAGGGACCCGGGATGTGGCCGAGCTGTTTTCCTCTGGGAGAGAGTCTAGTGTAGTTGAAGACGTCTTGCAATAGGTCCTTCCCCGATTGCACTTCTCCACCCATCCGGAGTGTTCTCCAGAGCGGGGGCAGGCAGGTTGTGGCTTGACTTGGGGTGACAGGGAAAGATCCGTGCTGGCCATTCAGGGTGGCAAGTGCCCCTACCGGGTCGGGAGGTGCCG